AGCTCAGCCTCCCCTAGCAGAGATTTTATCTCTTTAGATAAAATCTGCTCTAAACTTTCACTCCTTTTATAAATTCTAACCCCAGAGGTCAACCTTTGTCATTTGTATTTTTAGGACAAGTGTTGCTGCCATCATCATCAAAGTGAGAGAAATCTCATTCAGACAAATCTCAAAAGTGTCACTGGATCTACTGAAAACAAGTAGTCTCTGACTGGAGAAAAAAAACCCCATCAGTCCGTAACATTGGTATGTTAAGACTGAAAACAATTGTGGAGATGGGAGGAGACTTCCCAGCACCACAGACAAACTACCATTCTGGTAACTGGGAAGGAAGAATGGGGACCAGCATCTTCTGGGTCATTACCCCAAGTCCAAAATCACCCATCAGGAGCGAGCTCCTCAGGGCTCTCTTGACAAAGTGGGCAGACACCTCCAAAACTGTAATTGAATCGAAAATGAGGACATAGAACCAGAGAATCATTTAGGTTGGAAAAGACTTTTTAGATCAAGTCCAACTGTTAACCCTGCACTTCCAAGGCTACCAATAAACCACATCCCTAACTGACACATCTATATCTTGTTTAGATCCCTCCATAAGATGGTGACTCCACCACTGCTCAGGCCAGCTTGCTCCAGTGCTTGACCACCCTTTCAGTGAGGAAAGCTTTCTCTGTAGCAAATTTATACCTCCCATCGGGCAACTTGAGGCCATTTTCTCATTCTATTGCTTATTTCTTGGAGCAGAGACTGACCCCCCAAAGCACTGATCAAAATATGAAACCAAACTTGTCCCAGTGCTGAGCCCTGGGGAACCCCACTAGGGATTGGCTGCCACATGGATGTCACACTCTTCACCACCACTCTCTTGGCCTGGCCATGCAGATGGCTTTTCAGCCAGGAACAGTGCACCTGTCCAAGGCATGAGCAGCCAGTTTCTCCAGAAGGCTGTTGGAAACAGTGTCAAAGGCTTTACTAAAGTCTAGGCAGACCAGATTCATAGTCTTTCCCTTATCCACTGGCAATCGCCATATTATTATGCTATGAAGCAGAATTCAGATTTGCTGAAGGGAAATCCCAACAAGCACTTGACTGTTAATTAGCAGTTTATTTAGACAGCTAAATACTGGTTTTGTGCAGCAGAAGTCACTGCATTTAACACATTTCATAAAAATGCTAGAACTCTTGCCTTTGCCAAAAGAAAAAAATCTAAAATAAATTTTGTTCACTTAAAATTCTTTTGGAAAGGCTAATTGGGATGAACTCTAGTACCCTCAGCTGCTCCTCGTAGGACTTATGTCCCAGACCCTTCACCAGCTCTGTTGCCCTACTCTGGACTTGCACCAGCCCCTCAATGTCCTTCTTGTAGCGAGGGGCCCAGAACTGGACACAGCACTCGAGGTGTGGCTGCAGCAGTGCTGAGTACAGGGGGCAATCACTGCCCTGCTCCTGCTGGCCACAGCACTGCTGACAATCTAGCCCTCTTCAGTTCATCATAAAAATAACTTCTGAGACCAAGCTGCAAATGCAGAATTTTGACCACTCCTAACCAAAAAAAAAAATTATTCAAACCCAACTTCTGCCCTCCACTGTGTGTGTTGCACAAACAAGGATTAGTGTCTGTTTTACTGCAGTGATGCTGAGCATTTTTCCATTTAAAAATCTCTCTGCCAGAACTATCTCACTAAAGCCCCAAAAGTCTACTAAACAACAATGAAAATCTGAAACAAAACAAATCATAGTTGATTCTAAGCATTATTTCTTAACCAGGACTGAAGGAACTCAAACATTATCAGCTAAAGTGCTAAAGTCTTCAAAAGCCACTCAAGAATTTTAAATATGGCTTGATATTTCCTTTTTTGGTTGGTTTTTTTTTCCTAGAAGAAATGGTATTTAATGGTTTCTTGGTAGAAAAAAATAGTTTTCAGGAATATTATGCTTTTCTTTTTTTAAGTATGACTCTTATTTGCCTAATCTAATCTTTCTCTGAATCATTTTATTTTGCCTTTGCTACATATATCTTTGCAAAAAGTTACAATAGCTGGGTAACTTGCATCTGCCTTCAAAGAAAAAGAGGAGAAACAGCCAGAAAGTCATTATTTCTCTTAGAATACAACTACATCCTTTGGGTTAACTACTTTTTCTTGGGGTATATGCCAAGGGCCTGTAAAAATGGGGCTTGGCTCCAGATTTCCAGTACATAGGCATTAATTTTTAGTTATTACTGCCTGTTGCCTTAGCCTGGGTTGGTCTTGCTTTACTTTTTTTATACTGCTGTTGATTTCTGAAGACCTTGAATCAGAATCATTGTGCTTAATTTACCTAAAGTGGGGTCAAAAACAACTTCAACCACTGTTTTATTGCCATCTCATGTTTAATTGGGTTGCACACACTACTCACACAAGGAATCGCTTGGAAAAACATTCAACCAATACCTTAAAAAGCATAAGAAAGGAATTACTTCTACCTCACTATTGTACTGAAGGCACAGTGCTTTGCAGGTACCTTTCTGAATGAGAACAACTAACTTCCATTAAGCAGTAAGATACTGCTCTACAGTAGGAAGGGAAAGGACAGTCCCTGAAGTCTTTCTTAGAATGGCCCACATGAACTGTACAATGGCAATGCTTTGTGGTTTTAAAATATCATTTATCTGACCCTACAAGCTGAGGAAAAAAAAAAAAAAAAGGATTTTTGAGCATGCTATTTTAATGGAGTGGTGGTGGAGCTGTGTGTTATCTAATCTTGAAAATGTCTTTTTTTCCTCTCTTACATAACTATCACATCCTGATGGTAACACAGTGAAAAACTTGGAATTTGAGGGATTTTTTTCTTGCTTAGTTAAATATGCCAAAGGTGGAATAATATACAAAACCAAAGCTGAAACAGTCAACTGTAGTTCAAAGATATAAGAATGTCAACACTGGGTAACATCACAGTCTAACTAGGCCCAGTATCATTTCCAACAGGGATAAAAACATAATGTCTAGAGAATAAGGATGAGGTGAATATATAGTCTAGCTTTCTTGTAAATAATCTCCCAGATACCATACATTTCTACAGCTGGTGGGAGCAATACAAAATGTCAGGCTCCCTACCCATCTATTCATCCAACCTACTCCAAATTCCTTGTTTCACTATTTCAGTTTTGAAGAGAAAGATGATGGGAAAAACCTCACTCTTCTGGTCAAGACACTAGCGCTAGCAAAGCCATGAGTATTTTGTTCCTTTACACTGGAAATTATGTAAAATAGCTGATTGTATTGACTGCACTCATGATTGCTTGAATCAGTAATGAACTTTTAGTAGAAACACTATGAACTTTTATAGGAATCATTTGAAGTGGTAATGGTGGAAACAGGTTTTCATTTCCACTGATTTAAATTGCTCCATCAGAGGACAGCCATACTATCCTAATTTAAATCCCACAAACCCTAAAACAGGGCTTTGTCCTGTTTTATTTTTCTTCTGTCTTTCCATGAGTAATCTAATCTGAAATGCAAAATAAACTACTGTTCTGTCTAACAATACTTCTTTCAGAATTTTACTTTTGTCCAAATAGTGTAAGTCCAATACTTTGTGAGTGGTCAATTCACATTTGACATGTCGACAGCAGAATCCATAATCCATTAAAACCATTCATAATAATTCATAATAACTTACAACATCCCACCACAACTCAAGTTCACACTACAGATTATATTTTACTTTGACCTTTAGACTGTCATTTCCTAACTCACCTGATTTTTAAATTAATTACTGTAAGAGGCCATCTTTCCTATCCATGTTTAAAATATACCCATGATCCCCTCATGCTTCAATTACCATAAAATCTTTTGTGACTTTAGGAATTTGAAAGACACTGTAGTGGCAAAGGATGAAGCTTAGAGTAGCTGAGGTCAGATAAAACACCTAGATGTAAATTCCGATGTATCTGGTTATTTCTAATCATGCCATCTTTGCCTACAGCTCTCTTAACAACTTTCAGCATCATTTTGCAGCCTGCCATACACAGAATACAGCTGAAAATAAATATAGCTTTGTTCCCTTTGTAAGGCCATATATTAACTTTCCTGATGTGCAAGCTTTGCTTGGAAGGTTTTAAAGGTACTGCAATATTTATCTCAAACGTCTGGATTTATGACTGCCTTCTAACGTTAAAAAAAAAAAAAAAGGCACTGTAACAATTATAAATACATAGCACTTATGCAATAGGCTTCAAGCTATCATTAGAGGCTGGCCTACACCTGGAAAACCTAAGCATTTCCCCGCTGTGACTACTTTAGGCAAAAGAGAAGCACAAGTGGTGTTTCCCCGCAGAGCCCGCCCCCGTTGCCCACAGAGGGGAGCGCGGCTCGCTGCCCGCCGGGCTGTGACGGCACCGCGGCCGCGCAGCGAGCGCGTCCCACCCGTCCCGCGAGCGCGGGGAACGCTCGCAAAGAGAGGGGGGAAACAAACCCTAAGGACAAAGAGCTTTCCCTTAACCTTGTAACTTTTATCTTATCGTGTCCTCCATTAAAAGACTAACACAGAAGGAAAGGGGGCCAGCCCAAGCGGCCCAAGACGAGTGCGAGCAGCAGCCGCAGGGTGGACGGCGGGCACCCGCCGGGTGATGCCTCCGGGGCCACGATAGCTACAGACCCCCGTTCCCCGCTGGAGAGCCCTCTCTCCCCGCCCCGGCGACTCTGTCCCTCTATCCCTGCCTCCCCCACAGCCCTGCTAACGCCCGACCCTCACCACGGCAGCCGCTGCCAGGAGTCAACCCGGAGCCCGGAGGGCTGTCCCTCTTCCCCTGCCAGCCACCCCCGGGCCGGCCGGGGCGCTCCCCCCTCCCCGGTGCCGGGCGGGCTGCGGGGGTTCCGGGCACCGACGCCCCTGTGGCCGGGCGTTCCCGGACGGGCCCGCCCCGTCCCCCCCCACGTGACCCCGCGCCGTTGGCGGCGCGCGCGTGGAGCGGTGTTTTGTAACCTCCCCCCGCCTCCTCCCGCCCCCCGCCCGCGCCGAGCCCGGAGCCCATCCCGGCGTCCGGAGCGGGAGCGCCACACCCCCTCCGCCGCAGCCGCGCAGCCGATGGCAGCGTCCTCTCCCACCGCCACCGTGGGCTCGGAGCTGCCGCCGGAGCCGGGCGGCAGCGGGGGCCCCGGCGAGGGGGCGGACGAAGAGCGGGAGCTGCTGCTGGCGCGGCTGGTGCCCGCGAGCCGCCTGAAGGAAGCGGTGGGCGCGTCCCTGGCGTCGCTGTGCCTCGGCCCCCTCGGCGGAGCCCAGCGCCTCGGGACCCTCGTGGACTGCCTGGTACTGAACTACCGCCTGCGGCAGGGGCCGGGCCGGGAGCGCGGGGCCGAGGGGCCGCTGCGCTGCTGCGGCTGCAGGAGGTTCCTGGGCGAGCCGGTGACCGTCCCGTGCGGGCACACCTACTGCCGCCGCTGCCTCCGCAGGGAGCTGCGGGCCCGCTGCCGCCGCTGCCGGGACTGGCTGCTGCCGGCGGGGGGCACCAGCACGGCCGCGGCCCCGCTGCGCACCAGCGTCGTCCTCAACCGGCTGGCGGAGAAGTGGTTCCCGGGCGAGTGCGAGAGAGCGAGGGCTGGGACCCGGCTGGAGGAGCTGCTGGCCCAGGGCCGCTTCCGAGAGGCGCTGGACGCCGTCAACCAGGCTCTGCGAGCAGGTAAGGCTGGGGGGAGCGCTCCCTTCCTCTGCCCGTGCCGCCCGCCGGAGCCGCTCCGTCCCCGCCGCTGCCGCCCGTGTCCCGGCGGGACCGGGACGGGCTAGTAGCCCGGGGAGGCAGGCTCGGGGGACTGGGGGTGTGATGGAGTAGGTGGATGCGCCCTTATCCCCTAGTGCGGGACCGTCAGCGATCGACACGGTCCGGTGAAGAGCGTCCGAAGTTTTCTCGAGTTGGAAGGGATTCGAGGAACCTCTCCATTGGGAGAGCGGAGTGCAGGGGACGTGCAGCTGCCCAGCCCCTGGTTGAGCGCCCAGCCTGGTAGTGGGGTACACCTGCTTGTGCTTACTCCAGAGGTGTGCGGGAGCGTCCCACACGGGCTTCGTCGTGTCTCCTCCCGCACGCTTCTGTGGGACTTGTTTACAGAGGAGTCCGCGGGCTCTCCTTCGTTATGTGTTTGGTAATCGCCGTGCGCGGGCAAAGAGAAATTCCGTTGGTGTATTTAACCTTGTTTCCTGAGAGAGAGACCTATTTTCAGTCCTAAGTGTCACCAAGACAATTCCCAGCAGGCCGGGCCCAGTTGCATAAGCAGACAGGCACGGAGGGGGACAGGTTGTGTAATGGCAGTGACATCATAGGTGGGTGTGGTTGGAGTTTTATATAGTGTTGAAGAGGGGAGGTAGAGGCACGCTTTTAGGCTGTCCTCTATCCGATACAATATATGTGTCTGGCTGGTACCATGGACTCTTAAGATACACTAATTTTTTCAAAGTTTACTCTTCGTATAGAGAGTCAGATTTGTGTGATTGATACACCTAGATGGACCCAGCGAGAGATTCCTTTGTTGTTTTAATTTGACTATGGATTTAACACCTGGTGGCATGGGAGGCTCTGTTATGATTTACACCAGGATATTTTTTTTCTGTTCAGTAATTTAGAATTTAATATTTTTACTGATGAAGTGTGTTTATACAGTTGTCTGCAGTGGAGGAAAAAAAACAAAAGGTTGCATAAGTCTAATCCTTCCAATCTGTTCTGAAGAGATACATTAGGTCTAGTTCCAGAATAAACTGGTCTCAATGTAGGTGGGATTAAGTCGAAGATCTATTTTATATGCTTTTTGGCAACCTAATTTTAAGGGGTTTAGTTTTGGCTATCAATTCCATTTTATTTGCCAGGGTGTTTCCAAAGTGTAGGATACGGGACGGATTTTAAATCTTGAAACTATAAGATGCAGACTTCTTTCTGAAGTACAGGAAGTATTGACTCATACAGGTCACAAAGACATATCAGTAGTTTTCAGGGTAAAACTGATGAATCCAGTACTGATCACATATGTTTACTGGGCTCCTGTTTCATGCTTCAAGACTGCTTTGAAAGAATAAAACAGTAAATTAATTGCATGGTTTTTGTTACCATTTCTTTTATGGATTTAGGAATATTATTTAGATATTTATAGGGAAAGAACTTTGATTCTTTTTTATGTGAATCTACATCTTCCATTTTGGCTTCAAAATGGGTTTAAAATTTGAGTATACTTACCAGCTGTGATGTTTATTCAAAATTTTATTATTCAGATTTAGTACATGTGCGAGAATTATGTGCTAGAAGCTCAGTTTAAGGTCAGTTGTACAATTCTTTCCTGTGTCTCCAATCCTGAGGATTATTAACATTCCCCATATTCTGGAAAAGATACTGAAGAACTTTGTGGTTCAGAGTGCAGACATACCTTAAATGTGAATTTAGAGCTGTGGATTCACAGCTACAAATTGAATGTGATTCCAGGCCAATAGATAAATTAATAACTGCTGGTATACTTTCCATCTTCCTTCAGACCATGAATTTTGAAGACACTTAGAGATGGAAAAGATGTAGCATAAGAAATGTATTAATGTTTCAAATCGTTCATGTTCCATTTCAGCATTTCTTTACTGCTGCTTCATTTGTTTCTTTTTAATGCACATAGTTTAAAAGTTGTGATAAATATTAGTCTGATGTCCTAAATAAGGCATTGATGCTAAACCTCTATTCAAATGGCATATTTTCATAACTTTATTCCATTTCTGAAACATTTGAAAGAGTTATATTTGCCATTGTGCAAAAGTGACTTTAAAAAACCGTAAGGATTGGGGTTGGACTTGATGATCTTGGAGGTCTCTTCCAACCTAGGCATTCTGTTGAACATTCATATAGTTAGTATATTCCTTGCAGGAGTTGAAATGAAATAGCTTAGTTAAAGGAGGTCTCTTGAATTAAAATGCAAGTGCAGCTTGCCTTTAATCAAGTGTCCTGAAACACACCACTGATGTGTTGAATTTGGTGTGAATATCACTCATTCCTGCCGGAGTGGACCTCAGGAGATCTGTTGAGCAATCAGTCTCCTGTTTAAGTAGAACAAATACTGTGATCAGAGCAGTTTGCTTAAGGTTTTGTACAGCTGGATCATGAAAGCGTACAAGCTGACAATTCCACAGCCTTTCTGGGCAACCTGCTCAAAGGTTAATTAGCCCCCTAGTGAAAAATCTTTCCCTTATTTCAAGTCTTAACTGCCATTGTTTTGGTTTATAACCACTGTCTCTTTTGTTTTTTCACTGCATACTTCAGTAGAGTCTTCTAGGTAACCCATTTTTGGATTCTGTTGTGTTCTCCAATGCATTCAGGAATTTTTTTCTGCTAAACAAGCCCAGTTCTTTTGGCGCTTTCTTAAGGGTTGTGTGTTCCAACTCTGATTATTAGGGTGGCCCAGTACTACGTGTTAATAAATACTGTGTCTTAAAGTATTTCTACAGAGTGTTTTTGATGTGCATGTCTTTTATTTTGAAGAATTTACTATATTAAGAACCATATAAAAAGCATGCAGAATCAGATCAGAGGTGGTTCATTTATTGGTATGTTTATACTTACAGTGAGAGTAGATGCTTTGGAAGTAATAAAAACTCAGGAATGCATATTGAATGTGCTTTTGTGTGTACACCTTTGTATACTTTCCTATTAATGTAATAATAAAAACTGATGCACACAGTTCTATGCTGCAAATACTTGGTGTGTTTTCAGTTAGTAATTTGTCTTTGAGATGCTAGAAGTGAACGATTTCTGTATTTACAATATATTTGATCACTGAAATTGAAAGTTCAAGAGCTAATTATGTTTCTGTGCTCTTTAATCCAAAGATTCAAAATTAACTTGCATCCTCTCTTTAGCTGAAAAACATTAAAATATATGCTGACACATTGCAAAATTGTTTTATCATTGTAACAAAGCCAAGAAATTAAATTGCCATTTTAAAAATTGGATATATAAATTTAGATAGAAACAAAGAATTGTTTAGGTTGGAAAAGACCTCTCAGATCATTAAGTCCAACCTTTAGTCTCGCACTGCTAAGTCGATCACTAGACCATATCCCTAAATGCCATATCTACATATCTTTTAAATCCCTCCAGGAATGGTGTCTCCACTGCTGCTGTGGGCAGTCTGTTCCCACTTGTACTAAACCTCTCGTTGCACCATTTCCTCTCATTATGTTGCCTGCGAGAAGGGACAGCCAACCCCCACCTGTCTACAACCTCCTTTCAGGTAGTTGTAAAGAGTGAGAAGGTCCCACCTGAGACCTCTTTTCTCCAGGCTAAACTCAACCTTTCTTCATCAGACTTGTGCTCCAGACCCTTCCCCAGCTCCGTTGCCCTTCTCTGGACTTGCTCCAGCCCCTCAATGTCCTTTTTCTTGTGAGGAGCCCAGAACTGGACACGGGATTCAATGTGCAGCCTCCCCAGTACCGAGTACAGGGGGACAATCCCTGCCCTGCTCCTGCTGGCCACACTATTGCTGACACAGGCCAGGTGCCATTGGCCTTCTTGGCCACCTGGGCACTGCTGGCTCATGTTCAGCTGCTGTCAACCAGCTGCAGCAGCTTTCCAGCCACTTTTACCCCAGCCTGTAGCACTGCGGGGGGTTGTTGTGACTACGGAGCAGGACCTGGCGCTTGGCTTTGCTGAACCTCGTACCAATAGCCTTGGCCCATTGATCAAGCCTGTCCCGATCCCCCTGCAGAGGCTTCCTACCCTCCAGCAGATCAACACTCCCGCCCAACCTGAGTAATTTGTGAACTTTTGGTGCACTTGTCCAGATCATCGATGAAGATATTAAAAGGACTGGCCTCAATACTAAGCCTTGAGGAACACTACTAGTAATCATCTACCTTCAGTCTTCTGAATATTCAGACCCAGTTTGTCATATCTATTGATCATTCAATAACAGTGTTCAGCAGCAGGGTTGGGATCTCAGCTAAGCTCTGTTTTGTACTAGTTCAGTTGGAATCATGCATTTTTCATGGGGAAAAAAAAAAAAGTGGATAAAATGCCCACCCGCTGTAGACTTGAACTCACATTTTTATCTTCAAACTACCCCTCATTTTTCCCCTAGGTAAAAAGGCTGGGAGTTCCTCAGGTCATGTTCTGCACTTGAAGTCTGAAACAGATGAGCTTCCTCTGATTCTGTACAAATAGGCAGCTTATCAGAGAACAAAAACCTGCACTTACTGCTGCCTCTGAACAAAGGAGTTTGGTTTGCTACTAACTCTGTTGGACACCAAAGAGTCAAATACAACATGAAAAGCTATCTGAAGAGTTTAATCTGAGCTCTCACCTTGCTAGGCTATAGCAGTCACAAAACACAGCCACAGGAAATCAGGCTTCAGAGTTGTTCTGCTTGCAGAATTAGCATTTTACTCAAAGAGAGTTTCCCAGAGTTTGATTAAAACAAACATTTTATTATGTCAGATGTGAAAATTAAACAAACCAGCTTTGGCGATATTTATGTTTGAGGGGAAACTGTCAACTCAAAGGCAAATCAGGAAGATGCCAATTTCAGCTAAATTAATTCTTCTCTGATTTTCTTAACCCTTTCTTTTCCATTAAGATCTTTTTACATGTAGTATTGTGACTCTAAGTGCAAAGCAGTGCGTTGCAGTCTATAGGAACATTGACCAGGATGCCTTCTAACTGTAGAAAAGGCTTATGTTGGAAATTTATGAGAATTTTTACTAGACATTTAGAATAAACTAAGAAAACTAAATTGAAATTATAGCCAGTAAAGCCTTTTTTGAAACAAAGAGCTATTTGATTTTAGTATTGTTTACAGTTGACCAACCTTTGACTAGTTTATCTTATTCAGTGAAAGCCAGGTCTATTTTTAAAAACAATTAATATCAAAACAGTGTTCTGGCATTTTTTCCAAACAGCAACTGCAGTTAGTTGTGTTACAAAACCGTAGTTTTAGTGGCAAGGAGACGGATATCCTTCCCATTTAGAGGCTGCTGTACTGAAAGTGCAAAATGCTGTATGTTGGACATGGGAACTTGTCCTTACTGAACACATTTTGCTTTTTTTCCACTTTAGAAGTTCCACTACAACAACTCCTTACAACAGGGCTGCTAGCTGGTGCTAAAGGCTTTGTGGAAATGGCTATCAGTTTTTATCACACAGTGATAAAGCCTGGTTCTGGTGCCTCCCAGACAGATGCCACTGTGAAACTGGCACGTCCAGCCATAGAAGGGGTCAGGCACTATAAAAACAAATTGCAGTCTGCAGAAAAACTTGTGTGTTTGAAAGCAAACTTTGTAATACTTAAGACTTTTAATACAAGTGTGGTGAATTCCTAGGTTTCTGTGGTTTTGATTTGATATACCGTAAAGATAAAATTTACTTGGTCCTCAATTTTTGTTGTCCCAGCAGTAGCAGTGCTTTGTGAGCCTCTCTGTTCAGTATTTGAGAATAAATTTTCTTGTTGCTGTAAGATACACTAAGATCTAAAATTTGTTCCTTAGCTTACAAGACATGAACCTGGAATTACTGCCACTTTTGTTATCCAAACACTAGGGAGCGAGGGAGAAGGTACTCCACTAATATTGAAGTATTTTAGGAAAAATTGTAATTATGACATATCACTATGAAAGCAAATCTAATTAAAAATTACAAGGGTTTGATTTTTAAAAGATTTTACCTAATTTCTGTCTGCAGATTCCAGTGACTTGATGCTAAGAATTTACAGAGCTGAGTCATATGTTGGCCTCCAAGAATATAAAACAGCCATAGAAGATCTAAATTTTGTTATTTCTAAAATGCCAAATTGGCCAGAGGTAAGTTGGTATAAACTCATCATTTTTCAATATTGTGTTTGTAAAATTAATGAATTCCAAATTATACATGCACCATTTTGAAAGCCTAAGCCAGCTACTTTAAATGTTGTGTCTTAAGACATGCAAGATGCTAAAAGTCATCTTTAAAATAGTTAATTCATATGAGACAGGCTTCTCATGAGTATGGCAGGTTAGGGCTGGTTGACAAAGACACTGAGTTGGAATAGCTCATGGTGATGTAACCTGTAACAGCTGGGGTTTGAGGCTTGTTTCGTTTAGTTGTTAATTTTTGTTAACAGAGGGACACTTTGCTGTTTTATCTTGGAAAGATTGTCTTCAAAAAGCCCAAATAAACTCAGTGGGAACTGAGCTTTGCAAGTAGTACAGGCGGCTGGGGAGTCTGTGGTCTTCAGAGCGCATGTTACACTGTCTAAACTCTGAACATAGCAGGAGCAGCAAGATCATTCCACACAAGGGGAGATACCTGCAGTTGTCTTGGTTTCTCCTGTGTTCAGTGATCCCATGGCTACTGCAAATTCATAAAGCCTCCTGCTTTTCACCTCTCAGTGTTTGTAGTACTGTCTCCTTCTTTCTGTATGTTTGGAAAGAAGCACCACTTCACTTAACTGAGCTTGGTTTGATGGATGGACTCCTGTAACAGTCCTTACCTCTGCAGGAAAATGAATTGTCTGTAAGAGGACGACTAGCAAAATTCCCTTCTTCAGAGTTCATCTTAAAGGAAACTGGCCAAATCCATCAAAGAGGATGCGTGTCCTCATCTGACAGTCTTGTTGAACAGATGTTACTCTTCATACTGTCAGTCATTCTGTAGAAATTGCATTCTGGGGTTTGGTAGAGTCTTTTTTGGTTTTGTTTTGGTTTTTGTTTATTTGTTGTTTGTTTTGTTTGGATTTTTTTTTAAGTTTAGCTTCTGGCCCATTATCTAAATTCCTATATACAATTAGATATTGTTGTTTTAACTTTTTTTTTTTATAACTGTTGGTCAATTACTGTCATTATAATTTTTTAAAGTTGAGGTAAGTTCTTAGTTTTAATGTTATGTACTTTTGAGTAAGTTCATCAAAATCTGGTAGTCTTTCCTCCCTCCTTTTTTTTCTTTCAAGGGAAACAATACACAGACTTTTCTTTTCTTTTTTCCCCAGCTGGTGTCCAGAGTTCAAGCATAAAATATAGTTGGAAGAAGCCATTAATTCTGAGAGTGCATTGTTTTGTTTTAAGAATATAGGTTGAGATATATGTAAAGGATGAACAGTTGTGTGGATTGTTTTATTTGTATTCAGTCTTCTGAAGGCTTTTAATGAAGGGGAGAGCAAAAAAAGTATCCTGTAAGCTGTTGTGTGAGGTTATGTAATAATTTGCATTTCCTGTTCCTCTTCTTCCTCTCCAAAGGCTCACAGAAGAGGGAAATTAAGGGCTGTGAATTCAGCACTAGTGAGGTTTTCAACCCTTTATATTAGACAGAACAAGTTAACTGGAAGAAGACTCACACCAGCCTATGCCATGACTGCTTTCAAACACTGTAGTGGATGTGTGTTAGACCAGGGATATAGATCAGGCACACTGTACACAGTACAAATTTGTTAAAGCTACATTCTTTCTGTCATGGCAGGTTCTAATTCTAGCATTGTTGCAATGCCTGTAAGATCAATTCTGCAGTTCTCCCTGTTTTCTACAAATGTCTTTGTGGTGTCTGTTTCTCAGGTCTACTTTCAGAAAGGAAAAGTGCTGCAAGACTCTGGCTTTGTAGGTGATGCCTTACAACTGTTTCTACAGTGCTTAGCCCTTGATGAGGACTTTCTTCCAGCCAAGCTAGAAGTAGAAAAGGTAATTTTATTTATGATACTGGATTCCCATCTCTGACTTGATTTTTTTATGAAACTCCCATTATGATAGACTTTGAGCATCTAAAATCTTCATTACATACAGAGAACGTTCAGGTGGCAGATTCCTTTTAAAATACTTCTTAAATCATACTACGTTGAAGAGTTAGTCCCAATGTACACATTTTACATACATGTTGAAAAGTACATATGCATTTGAAGTTACTGAATTAATACATAGAAAACTGGAAAGCAGGCAACAAGTGAATTTTTCCAAGCTGAAATTCTCGGTGCCCAGAGCACAAGTTTTTTCTGTGATAATAAAAATTTACATTGAAAAGCTGCATAATACTGAATTGATAATGTCTAACACTCTTGGACTTGTAGTAGAAAAGATCTCTAGATAAATTTCTTTTTTAGCAATGTAGGTTTCTGCTTGTTCTCAACTCTGCCTTCACAGTTACTGCTTGAATAAAGATCTGTTCATGATGATAACTTCATGTAGATTACTTTCTTAGTTTTTGATGTGTAAATTTATAATGAAGGTATGTCTGGATTCTTTTTCATTGTTATTGACATTGAGCTGTATTTTCTAGATATTGTGTGATGTTTTGTCACCAGAGAAGCTAGGTGAAAGTCTGAAGGAATCAGCTTGGAATTCACCCCATATTAGAAATAAACCCTTTATACTTGGATCTGAAGTGACTGCATCTTACTGCAACTTACAGCTTTGTCCTCTGCAGGTAATAAAACCTCTACAGTAACTTCTGTCTCTGACTGATGTGTATACATCAGATGTACTGATACCCTGATTTGTCACACTTTCCAGTGTAAATACTGATTTTATGTAATTGTCTAAATTGGAGGAAAAGAAGCCTGGTCTGGGAGTAATTTATTTTCATTTGTCGTGTTAAAACTCCTCATTCTAGTTCACTAGAATGAGTAATAAATACATTATTAGAAGGTACTGAAGTTTCATATTAGGGACTTCAAAATAAAGAGAAATACAGTTGGGTTTTTTTGAAGCAGATGAAATATAATTTTTCTTTCATTTGAAGCAGATGAAGATTTTTGAATTGTTAATTGCAAGCAAATTTGAGTACTGTCTTGACTTAGGAATTTTTCTGGTTAGCTAATGGGTAGCAACTAACTGTGGGTATCAGTTTGGCTTGTACATCTTTGCACAGTCACATCTCACATAGCTAGATCTGTGTTACTTTTAGAATACAGTTTGGTTCATTTTACTGTTACAGAGTTTAGGAGGATCGGATGTACTGGAGCCTGTGAGTGGAAGCTTAAATCGTGCACAGTCTGCCCATGCTCTTAACTCAACAAAAGACCTTGCCAAGGAAGATGGCTTAAAGAGAGTGTCTTCTGAACCCCTTCTCTCTAGCCAAGGAAAAGGTGCTTTGTTAAAAAGAAAGCTTTCCTTTTCAGAACAGGATACAGTTGTATGTGAAGATGGAAGAAACAAACACAAAAAGCAAGGAGGTAAACAGTCACTTATTGTGAAATTTAGAGTATTTACTGCCTTGTGACTTTGTTTGAAGAAGTACCTTGTCCTGCTTTTCCTTAGAAAGTACAAAATGGGACATGACACTGGCTTTTGGAACAATCCCAGGGGATTTGATTGATGTATCAGATTTTGAGTGTTCCCTGTGTATGAGGTAAGATTTTGTCCTTGATTCACTGTTTGTTACACATGCTTGGCTGTGTATCTGTTACATGTATAAACGGAGGTACTTATAAGTTGTTAAGAGTTCTGATATCAGGCAGTAATTTGCAGCTTTTTGCTATCCCTGCACTTAAATGTGTATTTAAATGTCACTTGCTACAGTGCTATATACTGCAGGACTATTTTAATCAAGTTGTCTTTTTAGTTAAACTTGGCAGTGCTAACTGATAACCATCAAAGGACAGGATCTTTTCTGATTAAATATTAGGGGTTCTTCAGTCAATAAATACTTTGGGAAGGTTAATGCTTAGAAGCATAGCCTGTGAACTTTGTATTTCTCTGGGAGACATAGATGCTTCAGAATATTAGTCTACTTAAATGTAGCTGATGTTGTGTTTGAAAACTTACTGAATAATCATGATTTTCAGAAGAAACACCATAAAACGTATGGTGTATACTAAACTGTTCATAGTTATGTTATTAGTTTAATAACTAATAATTAGTAATACTGTTGTTAAAACAGTTTCTCAAAGAATCACCTAATTTTGTGTATTCTGAATCTCTATGTGGGGAGACCAAAATCTTTGTATATTAGGGTAAATGTTTAATTACTTAGAGTTTTAGAATGTGTTCAGCTTCATCAGAAAACAAAACAGTGAGTGTTGCAGTAAATGGAAACAAACTGCAATATAGAGGAAAAAGTAGAATAAGGAGACTTGGGACTAATTATTTCTTTACTTTGTTGTAGTCTAACTAGTCTTAAAAATTCAAGAGATTAGTCACTGACATTCTTAGAAAAACACACACTGGCCATGACATCTAACTTATAATAATTTTGTTTCAGGCTATTCTTTGAGCCAGTAACAACCCCTTGTGGACATACTTTTTGCAAAGGTTGCTTGGAACGGTGTTTAGATCATGCTCCACAGTGTCCACTGTGTAAGGAGAGCTTGAAAGAGGTATTGCTTCTCAGTAAAGCTCACAAATACAAATACTGTATAATTTTAAAGGCTGTTTCACTTGAACCCAACAATTTGGATTTGCTTGGGCTATGGATTACTGCTAGAAGGGAAGAGGGTCTCAGGGTCTTCCAGGTTTTATGGTTCTGTGACTGTTTACTTCAGTGGTGTAATTCAATCCTGCATATTTGTAAACTTTGGTTACTATTCAGTTAAACCTCTGTGTGATTTTTATACGCTTATTGGTATGTCCTGGGAAATCAGTTCTCTCTCTGGTAAGCATAGCAATACAAACTGAGTTAGACATTTAAATTGTCAGACACTAAGAACTTACACAGAGAATCAAATTATCAAATATTAGAGTATCATTAGATTTTAATTAATGAAACAAAAACTAAAGAGCTATAAGTTTTCATGAGTTCTGTCGCATTTCATAGATTGTATTTTTATAAAAAAGCTGCATTTTCTCAAGCCTTTTGTTAAGATACATGAAAATAATATTTTTGTAATTGTTCACAGTACCTTGCAAGTAGAAAATATAGTATCACAGAACTGCTGGAGGAATTAATAATGAAATATTTGTCTGATGAATTATTTGAGAGAAAAAGAATTCATGCTGAAGAAACTGCAGAACACTCCAAGTAAGCTTCCTGTTGTGAAAAAATTGAGAAATTAGCGTGGAAATCCTTTTTAGAAAAGTATTATTTTTATAGTCATTAATCGTGGTATATTATGGGTGCAAGAAGGAGTATAAAGCTTGTCCAGGTCCCTCTGGATATCATCCCATTCTTCAGTTGTGTCAACCACACCCCTCAGCTTGGGGTTGTCTGTGTCACTGATGAAGACATTGAACAGTGCTGGTCCCAATACGGACCCATAAGGGACACTGCTGGTCACTGGGACTCTGAGCCATTGACCTCTACCCTCTGGGTGCAACCATCCAACCCTTAATTATAACAGCCCACCCATCAAACCCATCTCTCTCCAGTTTGGAGAGAACACTGAGAGGGGAACTGTTCACAGAAAAATACAGATAAAATTATATCTGTAGCCCTTCCCTTGTCACTCCGTCATAGAAGGTCACTGGGTTGGTCAGGCTAGGTTGGATGAGGCTCTGAGTAACCTGATTTAGTGGAAGGTGTCCCTGCGTACAGCAGAGGAGTTGGAAGCAGATGATCTTTAAGGTCCCATCCAACCTCAACTGTTCCATGGTTCTTTGAAACATGTTTCCCTTCCATTCCTCTTTCTGCATGCACTGTCAGGGAGCTTTGGTTTTAGCTTTGCTGCTATTAATGAAGTTGTCTTCAATTGACTGCAGAGTCTCAGAGAATTGAATTTCTTGCAAAGCAATTCATGATAGGCATTAATCATATACAGATAGATGCAATAAAAAAAATTGTTGGGATTTTTTGTAAACCTGTTTTTTATCTCACAGAGAATTCTTCAAATACATAGACTTATGTATTGTATGTTATGTACTTATGTATTGTAGATATGAATGTTGGAAAATGTTTAAAACTAAAGTTCATGGAGCTTATTTAACAGAATCCATCCAGTTGAATTACATTTTATACTCTGAAAGGCATTAAAATTAAATATCTAATTTTAATGACAATTTAATTGTATCTACTATCAGCTATACATACTTGATAAAACAGGATGAAAAAAATACTTTGCTTTTCAGTTACACCTGCTGAGACATAATGCAAGGTTCAGATTATACACTGGGTTGAATCTTATGATCTGGAGTCCCTTCTTGAAAATAATCTAAATGGTGACCTAGCTCCTATGTAGTTACTACTACATCTTTTTACTTACAGGAAAACTGTGTCTCTGAGGGCTTAATTGGTTTCATAGCTCAAAACAAAGCAAAAATGAAAAAGTAGCTGACACCCTCATCCCCAAAACAGAGCCCTTAATTCATGGACTAGATACTCACAACCTAGATAACAGTGAGGCTTACTTGTCCAGTTTGTATGCAAATCAGTACATAGGTATTCAGCTGCTGTTACTGGTATGTGGGTTTATCATTCATGAAAGTTTATACAACGTATTTTGACTTTGAAAAGAGTGCTCTATGACCTCAAACATAGCAGACATACTGAAAAAATGTATTGTCTTGGCATAGCTCAATGTTTAGATTTTGAAGGCGTGTATTTCTTTTTATGTTCTCTTGAAGCTTGACCAAGAATGTTCCAATGTTTGTTTGCACTATGGCATATCCTACTGTGCCTTGCCCTCTACATGTATTTGAGCCAAGATACCGACTCATGATTCGCAGGAGTATGGAAACTGGAACTAAACAGTTTGGAATGTGCATAAGTGATTCTCAAAATGGGTAAGTTTACATCTTAATTCTTCCATCTCTTTTGTAATTTTTTAATTGCAAAAAGCATATTTTCAGAAGTGTATAATTGCATTACTGACAAGGTCTCTTTTTAGTTTTGCAGATTATGGTTGCATGCTGCAAATTAGGAACGTTCATTTTCTACCTGATGGACGGTCTGTTGTTGATACTATTGGTGGGAAGAGATTTAGAGTTTTACGGAGAGGAATGAAAGATGGTTATTGCACTGCAGACATTGAATATTTGGAAGATGTTAAGGTATCCAGAATGCCATCTAAATAAATACTAGAATTAATATATCAAGACTTTTGCTTGATTTATTCTTGAAAGCTCTCTTTCAAATTTTTAGGTTCCTGGAAGCTAGCTTAATTTTTTTATTATTATAAAGCAAATAAGAAAAACATAGTTTTTGTTTCAACAGTAGTTTGAAGCTGTAACTTTAGAAATACCACAATACTTTTTTACCATTCAGTCATTACCAGTCAAGATTACAGAGAGCACAAGAAACGTATCTAAATATAGTTGAGATTGAGTGTTTTTTGATTTTAGCTTAAACCCCTTAATTGTTTATTTATCACTAATCATATTTTCATAACTTTCCTCCTACAGGTTGCTGATGCAGAAGAACTAAAGAAATTGAGAGAGCTTCACAATTTTGTTTACAATCAGGCCTGCAGTTGGTTCCAAAACTTAAGAAACAAATTTCGCACTCAAATTCTTCAGCACTTCGGACCAATGCCTGACAGGGAGGAAAATATACAGGTGAGACTTCATTTAATATTCATTATTAGATACTTATTTCTAAAAATAAAAACCCTATTACCAACTGCTAAGTATTAAAAGCAAAACTCCCACTTTTTTCTTCAGCTTCAAAGACAATAAGGCTTGCACCTTGTTTCTCTTAAAATGAACATCAAAAAGCAATTCTCTCAATGGTCAGCAGTTTCTCCAGGAAATGGATGATATGCTGATGTGAAAATAAAACTAGTAAACTGAAAACAGTTTAAGTTCCAGTAACAGTTAAACTGTTAGTTTGTGTAAAGCTGTTAGAATTCCAAGTGAAAAAGCTCTTTTCTCCCTGTGAAAGTGAAGAAACTGAATCTGCCACATGCAGGCAATTCTTTGGGAAAGAGGTAATCACAAATAACACTGTCCTCCTTTCTGAGCTAATGTCATAAACTGGTGCAGCTGCTAGCATTTGACAAATGTTTCTTAAGAAACTAGCTGCAGCAATCTATTTTAATGGTTATTATAAACAATTAATGAAGGTGAGATCCTGAAGGAGTGGAGGCTGTAGAAAAGAAACATTTAAAAATATGTAAGATTTGGTTTTCAAAGCAGAGTTTTACGTGAATTGGGATCTTAGGGGAGCTTGTCCCTCACCCATCTGCTACATACTTCTATGAAACTATATTAGCATAGTCCCCCCTAGGGGGGGACTGTAGGTGCTGTAGAGGCTGGTGCATGAAGTCAGAAGTGATTTTAGAACAATTTAATAAAAACAGATTTAAAACAGCATACTAGGCAAGAGGAATATATGTGCAAAACCAGAATAATTACCAGGCTAGCAATCCTGTGGGTATGCACCTGAGGTTTAGAATAGGACACAATTGTGTCAGCTGTGTGGTAACAGCTGCAAGAGAGGAAATGTTACTCTGGAGTATACCACTACTGGTAATATTTTTGCAAATCATTTGAGGTACTTAGTATTCTCTGCAGTGGTAGGACCTCTGCTGTAGAGTATTTAAGTCCAGTTCAAGGCCTGACATCTAATGGTTGCTGTTGGTAATTAAAGTGCAGGAAAAAGTTCCAGAGTTTTAACTGCTTAGAGGAAACTTTCTAAGTAGTCCTGCTCTGTCTAGAATGTAGTGAGAAGGGAAGTGGAATTGGGAGGTGACAGAGAAGTCCTTCAAATAAAGGTTAATTAGAATGAAAACATTAGGCTTCAAGAGTACTCAAGCCTTAAGAATAGCATGACAAGTATTAGATTTAATTTTTATCAGGGAGGTTTGTCATTGGGTAGCTGTCCTGTACTTAGCCATCTTTTCCCAAGGAACCTGTGAGTTCCCTATGTTGTCTTAAAAATAATTGATTTATAAAGCTTAGTTTAAGTGTACTTTGTTTGACTTCTCAGTTGAGGTAAAGAGATCCTTTCAGCACTCTTCTAATCTCATAGATCTGGAATTCTCTAGTTAGTATCAAACTTTGAAGTAGTCTTGGCCATTGATGACTTTGTCTTTTGATGTCTCCTTGATAGTCAACCATACAACATTGGTTACTAGTAACCAGCTTATGTTTTATTTCTAGGCAATGCCCAATGGTCCTGCTTGGTGTTGGTGGCTTCTAGCTGTTCTCCCAGTAGACCCCAGATACCAGCTGTCAGTTCTCTCCATGATGTCTTTAAAAGACCGCCTGATAAAAATCCAACATATACTCACCTATTTTTCTAGAGACCAGTCCAAGTGACTAACCGCCTGGGTCTTCCTGAAAAGTTACTCTGTTCTGGTTGTAGTAGCAGCTGGAATTTTTGCTGCCTTTGCACATCTAGCACTGGTTTGAGAAGTGTAATGGAACTGTTTTTTCTCTCCACCCTCCTGGCTTCCTGAACCACATGGTTCATTGGATGCACACTTTCTTCAACTATGAGAGAAGACCACTGACAATTGCACAAAGTCAACCCAGCTAGATATGTTTTCCACGTTATCTACATTAAAATTTGCACTATGTAGAAAATAACCTTTTTGAGACTTGATCCTTTTAGCAATTGACTTTTCTAAGCTGTGGAAGTGCAGGACTTAAGGCTGACAGTCTAAGTTTACAACATTGAGGAGGTAATAAAGGTTTTGCAAATGTTTGCCTCAAACAACTGTTTTTTTGCTGTTTGCACAAATATTTGAAATATAGTATTGAATGTCACAGTCGGATATTGCTACTCTTGTTTAACTATCTTGACCATGAATATGGCACAGTTTTTTTTTAAGTTATCTTGTCAATGTATGCATCACAAAACAGGTGACATGAACTGTATGCTGAACTGAGAGCCAACTTTAAGGAACAAATGCAGAAAAAAAGGTACTTCTGTCTAAAAATACTTAAACTGTGAATATGGTTTACATACCTAGGCCTGTACATTTTAAAGAGGAAACTGAAATCTAAATGCTAGTACCAGTTACATTTATACTGGGCTTTTCAGGCTGTTCTTCCAGAGCACACACTTAGTTTGTAGAGTTTAGAAGAAGAAATCTTAGTGTGCGTGCGTGTGTCTATCGGGGATTGTGCATCCAGGATTCAAAAGCTTAAAGTTTTATTTGAACTTTTTAAGTTGGTGCAAATGTGAGTTCTATGCCTTATTCATATAAATAGTAGAGCACACTGCAGTGGCAAGGTTAGCATCATGCTGCCAATAGGTACTTTTTGTAATTAAAGGTTTGCATATTTGTGAATATGTCTGATACTGGCTTTCTTGTATGTAAATCATTTGTAAAATATTTCTTAAATCTTGCTTTTGCTAATATATTTAATTTTCAATAAAAGCTAAAAGTTTGTAATATTTTTAACTTTGTCAGAAACTTTAAATCACTTTCCTTTTCCATATGCTTCCATTCTGGGATCTTAAGTAAATCCAGAAGCTTCTGTTTAACCTATGTTAAGATTGTGAGCACTTCATGACGTAACTGGTATGTTCATAATCTGTTTCTGATTATAGTACCTGTCTCAGACTGATTACTGGTCAGACAAGTTTTTTTCCTGGTGTCCTGCTATTCTTTCTACTTTTTTTAAAATCATGTACAAAGTTTGCATTTTGCAAAACGTAAAAGTTGTAGGAAACTGTCCTTGCAGAGCAGTGAGATGTTTCACTGACTTGCTAGTCAGATAGTCGGGCCTAGTTCTTTTCTGGAGTTGAAGGCTGGAGATTTTACAGGCAGCCCAAAATCTGCTGGATCATCTTCCAATATCAGTTTCTATCTAGAGTAAATTTCCCCTTTAGGGTATAAGTAAAGTTTTGGGTGAATATTTGGGAAGCTTTATTTGCATAATAAAAGAAGAAAGGGAATCCTCTATTTTTGCACTTCCATATGCTATAACCTTAGAAATGTAATCTTTCTATCACCATGATCTTTCTTCTTAAGAATGCAGGTGGCAGAACTTTTTTCCCTTGGCAGTGAAAAGTTCCTGTAGCCAGACTTGAAATATCCAAATAAACTACTGGTAATTTTTTTTTAATTTCTTACCGAAAGCTTGAGTTTGAAATGGAGTATTCCATAGTCTGCTAAAAGATGTGTCTTTATAAGCTCCCATGACTTGTTAATACAGTAAAAATGCAAGTGTCAATTTGGTTGAAGTGCCCTGTGCATAATGGAGTTTTACTTCTGGAACTGTATAAACTATGTAAGACAAAACTTTACTGAAGAAAAATAACAACAATATAAAAAGCAAATTCACTGTGTTTAACAAATGCTGCATTAAGGCTAATTATAAGTACCACTCTTCAGTAACCATTCTACAGACGTGATTATTATAGGTACTCTTGGGAATGATAGAAAATTGAGATGGAAAGATTTTTAAGAGGTTTCTCAAACTGGAACTTTAAGTGAATACTTTGTGTACCAGAATGTGTCATTTTGTGCAGTTACAGTGGGGCAGAACAACAAACTCAACTGAACATTTGCAAAGCCCTTTCAGTAAATAGGTTGGAGAGAGTACCATGCTGTACTTTGTACATTGTATTTTGAATTTGGGGAGTACTTTCTTACAGTTATTCTTTAAATTTTCATCTCCTCCTGTTCCCCATCAAAGCACGGGTCCTTTAGCTATCAAACAATAAAACAGCAGCTGACTAAGGGCTAAGTTTGATTATCTTATATTGTTACAGTAAGGTTCAAAATCAATGTAATTAAGCCTGAATGGAATGCAAGTGATCTAGACTTGAGCAAAAGGGAAAAAGGGAAAGCTCACTTCTTGTCTAGGTAAGGTGCAATGCCATTAATGATTAGTCTTACATCTGATGATGAGCAACAGTCAACAAAAGTCAACCTCTCATTTTCTGACAGATTTAAGGGAGTCTCCTTTTCTGGACAGGACTCCTGGACCAGCCAACAAGAGCTACCCTAAATTATTATTGGGGCACTTTATTTATGAGATTGTGCCTTCTTTGTTCAGTCATAAAATTGACAAGTTGATGTAGAATGGTTCTTTGTGTAAGCATGAGAACAAAATTAGATGTGTCTCAAGAGATTGGTGATCCATAAATAGCTATACAGTGAATCGGATTGCACATATATTAATAAGAGAGAGCTCAGAACTTCAGTGTGATGGGGAGGAGTCACCATACTCAGAAATATTTGCCTGGAAGTGATGTGTGTTTTGGCAAGGACTTCTTCCCAGTTTTGTTAAATTATGGCCAGAGATCTCACTGTAATTCTTAATTTATGATTAATATTTACCTCCAGCCTTTTACCAAATGTCGTTTCTTGTAACAGCTTGCTGTCCTAGATAAGCACTGATGAGCATTAGGTTTAGAAACTTCAGATTTCTTGGTATGAAATGGCAACTTCATAATTCTCCATCTTACTTGATTTTTCTTTTGGCAATTGGCAAGTATTTGTCACATTCATTCTAGCAAATTGTTTCTTTGTGGGCCTTTTACTGGCCTTAAGTTTCTTTAAGGACAATGTGCAAAGATGAGTGTAAGATATGTTGATGGGAGTGAAACTTGAAGAGATGTTAGAACATTAGTAGAAAGATGTTTGCTCTAAACCCCATGAAAGATGAGGCCAGGTTCAAACATTGCTAAATACCTTACAAAACTTGGTCATCAGGTGATCTAACCCATTCCTTGGAACTCTGCATCAGAGAACTTGTGGGGTGAGGTAATTATCTGCTAGATATTAAAGTTGTGCTTTAGACTCACTAACATTAATTACAAATGAGACAGGGTAGAGTTACCTGCACAGCTGAGTCCTGGAGACCAGCACGAGGGAGCCCCACAGGATGAGGCTCTGTGCACTTGATACTGAGGCAGGGACAAACCATATCTGCCTGGCCTGCACCTCACCAAAGTTGTTTTGTCAGTACTGACTTCGACTGTAAAGACCTGGCTTTCTACAACTGGATTTGTAAGGGGAAGGCTTTCCACTTACTAGATGAAATATCTGTTTAATATCTGTGGTATCACACTGAAATCCATCCATTATCCTTCCATTTATGTGCTTTTCTCCAATTAAAAAACCCAAAAAACCTAAAGCTGTAAAATGCTTAATCGTAGGATGTAAGATATTCTAAGGCCTTTACCAAAACAAAACAAAACAGAGTCCACTGAGCCTTGTTTTTTGTGAATTTTGTGAAAGTTATGCTTTCCTGTCTGCTTATGACTGCAAACTGCTTTTACGAGCAAAGAGAAGTAGCAAGATTTCACCATGGATTTTAAAAAAAAATAACATTCTTGATTGTAGAAGTGATGTAGTTAAATTGGAGTCAGAAATGCCTATGGGGATGTGACAGGCTCTCTAGGACAAAATGTTTTGAGTGTTAGAAAGCAGTTTGTAAAGAAGTCTTCACAATTCCAGTTGAGGGGTTTGGTTTTGTTTGGTAAATAAGTTGGAAGGATGACTTACATTGGAAATACCTTTTAAAGCATACTGAATACAAACCTGTTCTAGCTATGAAACTGGCCATTTTGTAGATGTTTAGTGTTAGAAAAGGGAAATGATGTAGTAGGAAACCAGAGGCTGTGCCATATTCAGAGAAATACAGTCACTTTGCAATCCATACAAATTCTCTGGAGCTTGGCATTTTAATTCTGTTATGTATTTGAGTGAGTGTTGGTTCCTTGTGCTTAAGAGCTTTCTGGTCTGTTAGCTCAAAATGTTTTTATCAGCATAAAGAGCTATAGGAAGTGCTTGGCAAAGTGGGCTTCTCCCTGACAGCGCTATAAGGGGAGGGGCAATGATTTTTTTTTGTTTTCTTCATTCTTTTTTCCCCTCTTGCATCAGACCTCACTGAGTTCTGGTTCTGACTGAGGGTTGCTTGTGGGGGCCACATCCCATTCTTCTTTCCCCTGCCAGCATATCAGACCCATTCACCAGATGCTCCAGCTGCCTGCTGGATGAAATCCTGGGGTCTGGGAAGCACCAAGTGAACGACAGCCCATTCTTGTCTGTGAAAAGCTCTGTTGTTGGAAAAGACTTGAATTTAATGCTTGATATTCACAAGCATCCCTTGAGCTTCTGGCTGCTTGTTTTTGTTACAATTTTTCTGTGAAGATATCCTCCTACTGGTGATGACATCTGTCATCAGGAGGGGGGAGAGAGAGAGAAAAGCTGTTACAGTTCATTCTTTTACCAACTTCTCTGCAAATGCATCTTCAGTCCTTCCTAAAGAAGTTTTGAATTTTGCCTCCCACAGGGAACAAGAAGTCTAAGATCACCTTTGCACTCAGGGAATACCCTTCAGGAAGTAAATCTTGTCCTATGGAAAGCTTCCCACTGTAGCTGAACTGACATTTCATAGTCATACAGAAGAAAGATAACAGGACCTGTCTGAGGCCTGCTACGAGACTCCCAAGGCAGAAACCCAAAGCTCTAGAGGCAAGCTCGCTTGCAGTTACTTAAGGAAACAAACTGGGACAGTGGGGGGGACAAGGGGGGATCAAGATCTTCCCTTCCCACAGATCTCTGCATGCCTGCTGTGGTTAAAACACTCTTCTAAGAACTGAGGGAAAGGTTATGTTTTGTCCTTTCCTCCAGTAGCAAGGGAATCAAATTGCTTATAACCAGGGTGGCTGTCGTAACATGTAGAGTGCATGTCATGTTTTGTGTGGATAGATGTGCTTTGAGGTCCCCACTGGAACACTAACTTCGTGTATCCTGATAAGGCTGATTTGTAAAAGGCTAGTTTGCCCTGTTAAGATCTAAAATGCTTACACAAAAGTGCAAGAGGAGATGCTAAAGTGGCTTTCGGTCCCTCTCACCCAGGTAGCCATTGCACAGCAACGGTGAGGAGGTTTGAATGCACACATTTAGATCACAAGTGGAAGAGGGATCTGGGACTGCAATACAATTCTAGAGGCACTTAAGCTCTGCAGGAAATACCGGGTTTGTATTGCAGTTTTCTGGTGATTGTTTTTGTTTTTTTTCTTTTTAAATTAACCCTTGATGAAACTTCTATAACTTTCTCCTCTAGTAAATAGTTTGAAATAAGCGTTGAGTGTTCCAACAGCATTTACACTTCATTTTTGCCTGAGCCCATAAAGCCATTGTTCTCATGTTAAGCTTTTGGAAGTTTTGAACAGGAAGTGTCATCTGAAAATGCACAGGCTATGCCAACTGCAACACAATCCAAATACAGTACAACTGGCACCTCTGATTTTAAAACCTGGCTCAGAATTTCCACCGCTATTTCACAATTAAGTTGCAGTGCTGAAGAAATTACTTAGGCTGTAAGAAAAGGTCCAAATGGCCACTCCAGTGGGGGAACAATAATGATTTTTTTTTAGGTATGAATTGCTTTAAAACAGGGATGTCTTAATGCTATCCCCAAGAAGTCTGAAGTACATTCTCTCCTAGGCCTTCAATTCACTTTTACAGCTCCCCACAAGCAGCAGATATTAAGAACATACCTTCAGTGTCCTGGACAGATGTTTTAACCTTTGAGCTGTGGATGGAGAACAAACCTGTAGGAGCCATAACTGATTTTTCCTCACTTTTACAAAATGAGGGTTTCTTGGGTGTAGCTTTTTTGTGGAAATGAAATTATGTTAGCAAGGCTGAGCACCAGCTGCCACTCACCTGTACCTGAAGCATTGCAGGACATAAAAGAAGTTCTGCCCTCAGCACTTCCCTCTGCTAAGTCCAAACAGTTATTTGCTGATACCTTTAAAGAACATTTACTGTTAAGCAGGTAACTGCTAACTAGGACATGATCTAATTCAGGGGCCTGTGTTCTGCAGCAGGTGCTTAAAAGACTATAATTACAGGTATTCCAACTCAATTTACCAACTACAAATAAACTTCACTAACTGCTCTGCGTAATAGTTTATGTAAAGATAAAAGCACTTCTTTATTCATTAATTTGTTAGGATTGTTTTTAAAAATTGGACTGAAAAAGCACAAGTGCTACAAGAGCAATTTCTCACTGGATAAATTTTCAGTTTATTGCATCAATGTAATAGTTGGAATGCTGAATCAAGGGGAAAGTGTTTTCATTTCACAGCAGAAAAGCTTTGTGAGGAAGTTTCAGCTAAACTAAAGAGCTGACCTTTAGGGCAGCTACAGAAAACCCTTGCAGATACAAGACTTTGCAGGTTTTGTCTGCTGATCACAGCAGCACACTGTTAATGTCAGCTGCTCTGTCCTGATGCTTCTTTGCAAGGCAACTGCTCAAGCGTGGATTTGCAACTAGAGAGCTCAATACAGACTGCACAAAAACCCCCCAAACCACCCACCCCATCCAAAAGCTGAAGAATGACCATCTCTATGGCAACTAAAGCACTTAGCATGCTCATGCCTCACATAAATTGGCACAATTTTACAAATGAAGTTAGCATAATTGGGGTAAAAGTAATTTGAGTAAAGTATCTAGAGACCAAACAGAGTATTTCAGGTATTAACACTCAAATCATCATCTGTTACTAATTGTTATTGCATAGGGGAAAACTAGAGACAGCACAGCGCTAATGGCTGAAGGGATACCACCAGTGGCTGGCTGTAGCTGTGTATCCCAGCATGGTGCTAGGGTGGTCAGGTGGCTAGTAAGCTTGATTATCCATCAGAGCCAACACCCAGTGTAGTGCTGGGTAGGGTGGAATAGGAAATACCTTCACTTGTTGTGTAACTTTTCACCCTCAGGTTGTGTATTGTTATGCAGCTGAGTGAGCAGACTGCTGCCACCAGGAGGAAGAAACGCTGCAATCTCCTTCACAGTTTTTGTTACTGGTACTTGTCTGATTACAAGATAAGACGATTCACTCACCCAAGCCAACAAAAGAGCATAAACTCTTCACCCATTAATTCTGCTAGTTGAAGTTAACATCGGTGTCTTGTCAGGAGAGATGTCAGCATACTTTCAGATGTGCCTCCGCAAGTATGCAGGCAAGTACTAACTTGATAAATAGTTTTCTTGCTAAAAAAATCCCACAGTCCTGAGGATCTTTCCTTCAAAGTCAGTGCTTGCACAAATACAGTATAGTCATAGAATCATCTAGTCTGGAAGAGACCCTTAAGATCCAGCACATCCAACCAGTCCAACCATCCACCCAGCACTATCACTGCAATCCCTAAACCATTAAACCTTATCACCCAGAACCAGATCCAGACACCTTTTGACCACCTCCAGGGATGGTGACTCCACCACCCCAGGCAACCTATTCCAATGCCATCTCCTCTTGTCCTCACTGCAGGCCCAGCAGGAGAGACCAAACCCCTCCCCACTACAGCCTCCTTTCAGAGAGTTGTAAAGGGCAGTGAGGTCCCTCCTGAGCTTTCTCCAGGGTAAACAAACCCAGCTGTTCCCCACAGGACACGTTTTCTACATCCTTCATGAGCCTTGCTGCCCTTCCCTGGACATGTGCCAGTATCTCCATGTCCTTTTTAAAGTGAGGGCCCAGAACTGGACACAGTACTCGAGCTGCAGCTGTATCAGTGCAGGAGGATCATCACTGCCCCAGTCTTAGTGGTTACACTATTGCTGATACAGGTCAGGATGCCATTTGCCTTCTTGGCCACCTGGGCACACTCCCAGCTCATGTCCAGCTGCTGTTGACCAGCACCCCCAGGTCCTTTTCTGACAGCTTTCCAGCCCCTTTGCCCACAGCCTATAGTGCTGCCTGGGGTTAGTGTGGCCAAAGTGTAGGACCCAGCACTTGGTCCTGCTGAACCTCATACTACTAGCCCTAGCCCATCAATCCAGCCTCTCCAGATCCCTCTGCAGAGCCCTCCTACCCTTCAGCAGATCAACATGCCAGCCCAACTTGACATTATCTGCAAATTTGCTAATGATAGACTAAACATCCTCACCCAGATCCTGCTACAAAGGAATTTCACCCTCTTTTCTTCACTAATCCTCTGTTACTGATATTTCATTTAGAGATTCATTAGAAGAGCAACTGCCCTAATGCTTAAGAAAAGAGTTACAGTTCTTTTACTTTAGGGTAAGCTTTGACCAATTTTAAACCCTTGCATCCAGGAGAACACTGCTTAGAGCTCTTCTATACAGATAGACATAAGATGTGGTCAGTGCCTGTGAAGGCCAGCAGCAACATTCAGTCCAGTTACTCATACTGCAAGGCAAGCCTGACGTACCACAGAGGAGTACTTCAGGAACAAAGCAACACTCCTTAGACAATCAAGTAGCACAGTATCCCTTCAGGAGGCTGTCACCTAATAGTGTTCCATGCAGGTTTTAGTGCATAAGCTTCTTACAAGATTATTACCTCATTTGAGGTCCTGAAGTTACCACAGCTGACAGCAACTTTTGAGTGTACTTAATAAATGTCCATAAAGCAGATTTGCATTCAATAGTTTATTTATGATTGTAAAAGCATAGGTGTTACATACTTTGAGTAATTGCATATTTGTTAGAATGTTACCTACTCAGAAGACTGGTGTGTGCAAAGACAAAGTCATGCTTAGATTTCCCCCCAGAAGTTTGTTGCTTTAGTACTTGTTCCCCTGTTCAGTTCCGTAAAATTTCCACAGAAATAGAGTGAGGAAATATAGACACAGAATAGCTACAGTTATTTAAGTGTATGAAGACAGTCCAATAGCATCATAGGCCCTACAGAACTACTGAAGGCAGATCTGCCTAGTATTTAAAAGGACAAAGCCTGGGCTAGGCAAGAGTTAGAGCAAACAGGCAACAAGCCAAGTTACAGGTCACTCAAGCCATTTGTATTTATAGCTTGTTATGAACAAGCAAATTGGTGTCAACTTCACCACATCATTCCAAAATATATCAATGGGGTAAATATACACACACATTTTTTAAAAAGATACATGTATGTATATACATTTTTTAAATAAGGCATGTATTTATTTCAGGCTCTTAAAACATTTTTCCACACTCTTTTCCTATTAATACAGTATATGTTTTCATTTTATTGCTAAAGAAAGCATACCATCATTGCAAGCAGAACAGCATCAGCACTGGCTTTAGTCAGCAGTCCAGTTCAGTTAGTAAGGTTCAAGACATACATTAATACTATGGAAGAATGTTACTGGTACAGAAATGCAAAAGACTACTTGAATTCTATTTAGATCACACCAAATCATTCTCTTGACATAGTCTGTAGTTAACAGTATAGACTAAAAAGCAGAACAGCACCATTCTGGAGCAACAGAAAGAGACACCTAAAATACTACTTCCCCATCTCTACTTAGTTGTTATATTAAAAAAATACACAAGGGAAGGATGACAACACAACAGACTTCCTATTCTGCTCTAACAATGCTTTCTTCTGCAAGAAATGATGCAGGACTTTTGAGCTCATCCAAAGGTAAATCCTAATATGAATGAATATGCACACGCCATTATCATTGTGTAACTAATAATAGTTATTTGTTAGTGTGACTTACAAGGAGCACTCCCTAAGTTTTTTGTCAGCCTGCTTCAAGGAGATCCAGGTGTTTAGCATGTTTGATCGCAGTTTGGCCCACACTAAATGATTGTTTAACCCAAATATCTGGGCAGCAAATTGGGCAGCTCCTTCAGGTGACAGAGTAGTAGGACAGCTAAGACCTGCAGAGAAGAAAATGCCACTTACTAAAGCATAGTTTATAGTCAAACAAAACATTTTCTCTGAAGAACAATTTAAGACAAGGCTCGTTTCAGCCTCCAGAAGACACATGATCCAGTTTTAAAGCCAGTGAATTGTCATGTGTTCCATTACTTTTAATACAAGTGTTTTGTGACACTTTACATCAAAAGACTCACTTATACAGAGCTAACAGACTCCTGGGCCTCCACTCAAATTACTAACAAAGTTAAAAATCATACAGGTAAAAATGCACTGAATTTAGTAATTAAGAGTTGAGATTTATCTACGCTGATCATTGAGAAAGATACTATTTGATCTTTGATCATAAGGGAAATGCATCAAAACTCAATTACCTAAATTCCTGTTAATATTATTTTCTATTTCAAAATGAAATGTTTAGCAAGGATTAGCCAAGGTTTCATTTCTTAAATTATTTAATCCTATATAATCTTTGCTCTGTCTATTGGGGTTTTGCCATTAAGAAGTCAAAAAGCCTCTATGTGACATATTTCCACAGACTTTGCTTGGTACCGATCCAGCTGCTTTTCCAAGGCTTTGCCCCATGTGTGTGCAGTAGAACAACAACAAAAATTAAGTAATTAGAGTTAGATCAGAACAAGAGTGTAAGTTGAAGACCATCTTACCACTGGGTAGTCTGAGAGAGGACCACACATCCTGAGTACCCCAGTCAGCTGAGAGTGGAGGGCAGTTGACAACTGGGTAAGCAGTGTTACCAGACATTACAGGCCCCAAACCATTGCTCCTGCCAGCTACTGCAACAAACACTGTTGGGATTCCATCTCCTGGTGGGGAGGAAGACATTCAGAGATAAGCAATCCACATTGTTCTCTACC